GTTCTTGAGGCAAATGTGTTCCTCATGAGGAGAGGCATCTCTGTGCAAAGTTTCATGTCTCTACGACATACGGGGCATGAGATATGCCCATTCAAAGTTTGACATTTCAATGGGTTGCTATAGCGCCCCCCTTTGGCCAATTGATGTAATATTGCTTCATTGGCATCCTCCCATGACCCTCTACCACTGTGCCAAATTTCACATGGATTGACCAAGTCAGTGAGGAGAAAAACGTGGAACACAGACACAGACACACACACACACACAGAGTTTTCGTCATTATATAGTAAGATTGTACAGTGGGCCTGTTATAATTTTGTCACCTGAATGTGGGATAGCAACTTCACTAGGGAGGGAAAAGTGCTGTTGAACTACTTGTATTAACAGCAGATTGAATACTTAAACCTACAGAAGCCTGATGCATTTATTTGAGAAAAACATATTTGCCCTGTTTCTCTGAATTAACAAGATCATTATCTGAGGAAAGTTTTTATGGAAAATAAATCTGAAAAGTCTGCTTTGTAGCAGGTCACTAGCCTTTCCTCAGATTCATGTATATGATTTTGGATGATTGGATATGATTTTTATTGTCAGTGGACTGAATACTGACCTAGTGGCTCCCAACCTGGGGGTCCTGACCCCCACTAGGGGTCACCAAAGCTTCACAGGGGTCGCAAGGCCTTCTTGATTTTAAGGGGTGTAAGAGAACTGTTTTAAAGTTTACAGTAGGCCTACATTTTATATGAATTCTGAGAAGGGAATCAAGATGTAAACCTTTCAAAAAATCTCACAGGGTAAGGTCACAGTGAACACCTGAGTGAACAAAAGCTATATTCACAGAGTATTAATTATAAATTTAATTGAATTAAAAACTGATTGTTAAAAAATATACAATAGAAAAAGAGCACTGTATATAAAGAATTACTAAAAATATCAGGAAAACTCCGCAATGAAAATAATCTGCTGTTAATCACTGTTTGGGTCAGGTGTACAGTTTGTCAGTTGTACTGTTATTATTATTGAATATAATATGAAACAGCCATAAAACATATCACTTAGTCAGGGGTCCTCAGTTTACTCAATGATGGAAAAGGGGTCAATTTAGGGAAAAAGACTGGGAAGCACTGCTCTATGTGAAAGTGTGACGCATTCACTTGAGAACAAATATGTGCCCTGTTGTTAACAAGATAATTATCATCAAGAAAATTCTGGGAAAGTTGTTCGTGAAAAAATCGGCTTTGTTTTTTCTGGAATAATGAGATCATTATCTCAGAATTATGAGAAAAGTTTTTATTGAAAAAAGAAAAACAAGGATTATAATCTTGTAAATCCCTGAATTTCCTGAATTGAGAATATCATTTTATTTATTCACAAAAAGAGAAGGCAAAGGAAATGAGAGCAGCTCCATAAATGTATGGCAGCCACTGATAAAACACTTACCCAGTGATATAAGGGACTTAATTCAAAGAAAAGCACCACAGAAATTCACCTTAAGAATGATTTGCCTGTAAACAACAGTGCATTGGTGTGTAAAATGAATAATGTGTGTGCATATGATTATAAAGGCTTCATTACAACCCCCCAATCCACTTTAAATGTTTTATTTTATTCTATTTTATTTTCATTTTATTTTATATTTGTTTGGTTATTATTCATTTATTGATTTATTTATTCTTGCTTGTAATACTGATTTATTTAAAGTATTATTTGTATGTGTATTATCGTATCAAGCTCAGGACTGTTACAAAAATGTTGATATTATAATTGGGGGAAAAAAATCATAAAATTTTAATATCCAGAAACAAAAACAAAAGAAAAAAAACCGAGCAGAACATTTTTTTTCCATATTATATTATATAATATTTGTCACATAATAATGTGGTTAATTCAGGAAAACAAGTGAATGCTTTCCACTTCCTTAGTAACCAACCAATACAGCCTTTCTTTTATGAAATATAATGAATAATAAACATTTAACTGTGTTTCTTTTCCTTGTGTATCCATCAGTGATGACAGAGGAGCCATTTGATCATTTCACTGGTCTGACTGTATATAGTTTGTCCAGATTACGGGGGCGTACATTAATCGCAGATCACGCTCGCTGATTGGCTACAGCGATATTTACCAGCCGTCAATCTTCACAGATCTCAACGCTGATTGGTTACTGCCTGTATCGAGCCTGCAAGCACGTCAACGTCGAAGAACTAAGAAGCTGTGCCATTCTCGTACATTTTACGTCCTTTTAACGGCGCAAAGGCCGTCACGGCTCCCGTAGTGTACGTATTTGACGTTAGAGAGCTACCTTTTGGCAGCAGGTGAGGTCAAATGCAGAGGAAAGGAGCGGAAGAGGTTTGCTGACAGGTGGAGGAAAATATAGCTTTAACCTAAAGAGGAACAAATGGACGAGAGTAAAACGGCACTGACGGAGAGCCTCGTAATATGGGTGAGTTTTATTTGACATCTTAGCGTGACGGGAAGGTGTCGCGTGGTACGAGGAAACCATGGAGGCGGTTTGGTTTACCTGTTTGTAGGTGGTGGGGGTGGGGGTGGGGGTGTCAGCGAAAACACTCAACAGCCGAGAGAAATCAAGGAAACGTGACGGAGAGACGGTTTTAATTCAACGGTCGTCACATAACCGTTATGACGGAGATTAACGTCAGCTTCAGCTGTTATTAGTTTAATAATATGCTGCATGCTAACTAAGTGAGCAGCAGGGTTAGCTTAATACACATAAAGTTACCAGGTAAAGACACAAAGACAACAGTATTCTGTAGTTTGGTCGATCCTCGTCGACTGCTAATCCAATTAACCGGGATATATTCGTGTAATGTCGCTCTTGTTAACCTTATGTAACTGATGAAGCTAATGTTAACAGTTAAGTACCCTCATTTAGCATCAGTTGCTGCCTTCACCTGCTCCTCTCCATGGGTGTGAATCAACGGTTTGTTTCCTGTCTTGGCGTGACAACAGGTTCATTAGATCTAAGTCCTGTATCTAAGCCGCATCAGTTACCTTGTTGAACAACACTGTTACTGTCTCACGACTTAATAAAAGGTGAGATTAAGTTAGCCTGCCACAGTTACATCCCAGAAACCTGTGTGTCCAACTAGGGAAAAGGAAACACTTCCCAGTCAAAGACATTTCCTTTCCATTCAGTTAAATATTATACTTAAGTAAAAGCAGTAATACCACAGTGTAATCTCTCACAAGTAAATGTTGTGCATTTAAAATCTTGCTTAAAGTGACTCTGGAAATTTTACACTTTTCTTTATTTAGGTTAAAATGCTATTAATAAGCTATTTATACACATTTCTTATGTGTACATGTTTTACTTTTGTTTTTTAGACAACATGCCTCTGATTTTTTATTTCTATATTTATATGTAGGCCTACTTTATATATTGTCTTATGAATTGTCGCATAATGTATTCTTGCATACTTATTTCTATAATAATAATATCTCTAATGCCTTTATGCCTATGCATCTGGTAACGGTTAGGCTTTCAGCAATTTTATACACTGCTGCATTTCTTAATCTATAACAGCAGGCTATAACATAATTCATTACTAAATTATATATTTTTTTAACAATTAAAACTGAAAATATTGCGATTATTTTGACAGGTATTGCTTTTGTGATATAGTTGCGATTTTAGTGGGAATGATTATTTTTGCTGTTTATTTTCATTGAAAAAATATAAAACTAATGATATGATTTTTACTGGGGTCTGTACCAAACATCTGGGACATGATTTGTAGCCTGTGGCCTCTGTGTAGCACCCCAGTGCTTCATTTATACAGTTTTTTTGTGACATGTTTTACCTTTATCAAAAAATTGCAGTTCCTGTAATTTGGATATTAAACGTGGGCCATAGTGCGATTTCGATAATATTTTGATTACTCAATAATTGTGCAGCCCTAATAACAATCTGAATCTACAAACTAGTAACTAAAGCTGTCAAATAACTGTAGTGGAGTAAAAGTATTTACAAGTACCTTGAAGTTGTACTTAAAGAACAGTACGCAGTTACATTCCACCACAGGAAGCCAGACACATAACTATAAAAGTTGTCCTCAAACAGTGGACTTACTTTTAATATAAGATGTCAGTGTTTCCATTTGATGGTTCATTTTGAAATAACACTGTCACTGGCTGATGGGAGTGAATGTCAGAGTGGCAGCCTTTGGAGCGGTTTTGTTATCACTGCAAACTGCAGTTTGTGTACAGGACACGGTTTGGCAGTTTGTGTTTGAGTAAAAAGGATGTCAGCCCAGGTCGTCACACCTACCTTACACTGTGGCTGCCACTTGAATTATTCACACCTTCAAAGCCTTTGTCTTTATCGTGGTGTCTTTGCCACTTTTATCTGCAGTCCAATCTGTCCTCCCTGTCCTCCATTGTCTCCGCTCCTCCCTCGTAGTGGTTTGAATGCAGGTACACAGCACCTCAGCACATCTGCAGTGTTGTGGAGTAAATCTCCAGTGACAGCTTGCTGAATGCAGTGTGCTTCTGCATGTCACCACCTCCCCAACAGTGTTTTATTCCCCCGTGGAGTGTTGACCAGTCCCCATGATGATGCTGTGTTTTGTGCCTCTCAGCTGCAGACCTTCAACACTGCTGCACCCTGCAGAACAGTGGAGGAGCTGACCACTGGAGCGGCAATATCTCAGGCACTGAATCAAATGTGAGGAAACACACACACACACACACACACACACACACACACAGAGGAATACAACATATACTGTAGGTCGTCCAGATCTGCCCCATTAATCATGATATCTGGCTCCTCTGCTGATACAGTATTTATTCAGAGCCAGTCTGGTATGGCTCAGATAATTCACATCACATGTGGCCTTGGCAAAAAAGCTCACTTAAAGGATTTTGTTTGTCACTTATTCAGGGAAAATTGTTGTTTATGGTGTAAAACACTGAAGCACAAATGCTATTGGATGGTTAATTTCTGGTTCTCTTTTTTGTGCAAACCTTTTTTCATTTCTATAGATAATGAAATGAAGATCAAACAACAACGTCTTGTTTTTAAATTCACCAGTCAGCGCAAGTAGTGATTCAAAAAGGTCTAATGTAGAGGAAGGAGATAAGACGCTCTCCTCAGACAGCAACCTTGAGATTTCACAATGCACTAAAGCTGCATTAGAGAGGCATGTTGTGTTATGACTAATTGATGAGACTTTGTGAGAGACAAAAACTCTCTCTACGTTGCTTTTACTATCACTGTAGGAAAAAAAAGTGCAAGTAAAAGAAGGCTGAGAGAAAGCAAACTGCAACATTCAGTATTATCTAGAAGAATCTGACCTTGAACGACACACAGTCGCTGAGAAGTCACGTGTGGATGAACTGTTGTTCCCATCTGTGTGCTGCAGAGACCCAGCATGGTTCACTGATGGATGGCTCGGCCGTATAAAAACAGATGTTGAGGAAAACTGGAGACTGAAGGTACAGAGCAGTGCTGTCCTCCCCGTCCCCCTCTCTGACTTTTCTCTTCATGTTTTGCTGACCCCCCCCTCCACGTGTGCTAAATCCTGTGTTTACTTCAACCCTGCCAATCTGTCCTTGACACTGACCTCCTGCCTGCCCCAGGGGTGCTGCTCCTGGCTTAGCCCGCACTCTGACCCCACGTTCTGACTCCTCTGGTGAAATGTGTACATGTATGTTTGTCTAAATGTGTCAGCTGTATGTAATGTAATTCAAAAAAGAAAGTGCACGCTGTTCTCGATCCCTCTGTTTCACTCTGTTTCCCCTGTTGCTGTTTTTCATCCTCAGTCTTTCACAGAAGACATTTTGACATGCCGCAGTAGGAAACACACAATAATAAAATGAATAGCGGCTCAGTTCCATTTAGGTGCCTCAGTTTAAAGGTCCTTGTGTTGTGTATGCAGGGCTTACTGGGACAGTAGTAGAAAAGAACCACCATTAATGTTATTAATAACCTTTTCACCAAAAACAAGTCAAAATGTCTGCTGTGCAAAAGGCATGTTTTCACTGTGTACATTTAAAAAGTCTTGATTTTTATTATGGCATGAATATAAATTATGTTTGAAGTGAATCTCTTGTGATTTTGTCGAGGGATGCACAATAACATCAGTACATTATCACTAATGTCGACTTTAAAATGAACTATTAGAATCGGCCAACGTGTTTTTTCTTATTTTACACAATGCATGAATATGACTAATACGATGTTGATTCCACTACAGAAGAGACTTAATGATGACTTATATCAGCATTGGTTACCGGCCAAATAAGTTGTTATATATCAACAAATAAATCCAATATCGTGCATCCATAATTTGTCCCCTTGGTCCCAGTTTTGACGATAAACTAAGTTCCTAACATTTTATAATCTTGTGTGTGATCTCAGATGAACAACCTGAAGAAGATCCTTCAGATGGTGGTTGATTATTATAAAGAGGTAGGTTGTGGTCCTGTACAGCATTCTCCTTGTGTTTGCACAGTTGACAGGTTATTTAACACTTACTGTGTGCAACAGGTGGACTCTTGCGTGTTTGTTCAGTTCATGTGGGAGTTGTAGTATGCACTGTTGACGTAGTGCCCAACCCCAGGAGCCTAGTGTGCTGTTAAGATCAAAACAAGCATCGCGCAGTTCAAGCCTGATACTCAGTACATCCACAGTGGAGTTCTAAAGCCAGCACTTTATATCCACTTTGCTACAACACACAACTGACATATTTTATTCAATAATCCTTGTATGCTTACCATATAATAGAAGATTTAAAAATACTTTTAAAAGCACAGTCTGACACATGTGAGGACAACATGAGTTTTTAGTGACAGACTGTAAGATTTAGCAAAGACCTGGGATCTTGCAGGGTCACTGTTTGCAAGACTACAACTTGATTCCCATCCTACTCCTGGTGAAAAATATTAGGCCAAAGTCCCATTAAGAAAAATAACATATAAACAACTCCTAAAAAAATATCTTATTTAAAAAAAGATGTAAGATTTCTCACTATAGTAAGTGCTGGTTGGTGGATCAGATACATGCCGAATTAAACACGGACTCTTATTCACTCTACAACCCAAGCTTATTCATGTTCTTGCGCTCTCCCGGGATCACGTTCGTGTTTACTGTCTACCTGGTTTGCTGCCTCCTGTTTGGTGCGGGAGAGAATGGTTGTTCACAATCTTCACGTAATTAAACTCCAGTATTTACATGAGCAAAGACTAAAAACTTAAAATAAAATTCAACATGTTAAATTTTGTCATGAAGGACTAACTTAAGACGGCTCAGACTGAGTTTTGAACCACCTTACACCAAATGATTGAGATCATGGAGGTGTGCCACAGCTCTAGTAAAACTCTCATGATTTTATTACAACACTGGAAATTTGTCTGCAACAGTAAAATTGCTTGTGAAGTTGTTTGGCGTCAGGCCGGCATTAGTCTACCAGAACAGCTGTTTACACGTTGAGCATATAAAATCAGTGCCGTTTCACTCACTGTTTTCTTTGTTCCACCAGGTCTTAGCCCAGGAAATCTCAGACTTCCCTTTGCCAGATCTGGCCCTGGTGGCAGAGCATTCGGACCCCGTGGAGCTGGGGAGGCTGCTGCAGCTTGTGCTGGGCTGTGCTGTCAAGTGTGAGCGTAAACAAGGTATGTGGCCGCTTCTGTGTTCGGCACAATTTTGTGTACACAAATTAGACACAAACAGATATCTGCAGTATGTGTGTGGTGTACAGAGTAGAGAGAAAAGGAATTGTCCATCAGAATCCAGTTGGGTTAAGGCCCGTCAGCTGAACAATGTTTAATTATTGCCCTGCCAAGTCTCTGACAAAGGCAGAGTCCATCAGAGAGCCTGGCGGGGAAATCAATGTCAGTAGTGTTACATTTGGAAGTGGGATGCCAGTGCTGAAAAATGATAAACGCTGCAGTCAGCGTGTGTAGTTCATGAATCTCTCATTCTGTTTACAGAATACATTCAGATCATCATGACCTTGGAGGAGTCTGTGCAGCACGTTGTAATGACAGCCATCCAGGAGGTCAGTCCATCTTAACACCAAGTGTCTCCCTCACTCAGATTAGAGATGTTAAAGATATCTAGTACAGCTTGGCTCAGCAGTTGTACATTTTTGATAACTGTAGCTGTCTCAAAGGCACAGTAGTTGTTGGTGGGGGGCAGAGGGCATACTGCTTGTGTTCAGGTAAAATAGGTGGAGGCTTTTCAGCTATTCTAATGAGTGTGTGTGATCCATAAACCCATTTTTCCTCTCCAGCTCATGAGTAAAGAGATCATGGCCCCATTTGGAGCAGAACCATCAGGGGACTTGGAACAGCAGGTCAGTGTTATTACGACAGAGACTCCCAGCTGGGAAATCTCCTTTGTGTTTGAACAGAGTTGGTACTGTCTGCTGTGTGAAGGCCTTTACACACCAAGGCTGTGTTTTTCTCTTGTGTCTTTTTAATCCATCATCAGATAGAAATGATTGCACACAGGAACCTTGCACACTGAGTCCAATGCATTTTATTGTTCTATTTTTTTTCCAAAAAATTCTCAGTACAAAACAAAATGGAAAGACACATTTGCTCCCTTGCTTCTCTCCACTGGAGGCACCTCCCTGCCTGTCACCACTCTCTCCTCCTTTCACCTCCTCTCTACCTGAAGTGGCTGAGCTGTCCTCCCTCTCTGTCTCTGTCACTTTCTCTTTCTCTGTCTGCATGTGCTCTTCAGCCTCCTTTTTATCCTCCTCTTTGTCGTCGTCATCCACCTGAATATTACTGTCTCACCTATTGTAGGCTTTCTGAGTCACAAAATAATACTGTGCACTTCCTCTCTTTTGTTGCAAATGTATGTCTCTCCTGCAGGTCACATTTTTTTCACTGCCTCTTTGTCATACAACGCTCTAAAGGGTTTTGATGGATGCAAAAAAACCGCAGATAATTGAACCTGTTCTGAAAACTCTGATGGATGAATTTTCGGAGTTTCGGAGTTGGTGTGTAAATGTGTTTGACTGAACATGAGGTCATATTTATTTTTCAACATGCAATGATTTTGGATGAAAAATAAGGACTTGGTGTGTAAAGGTCTTTATTCTCTAACAGAGGGAATTTAAATTGTGTGATATTAAAATTATTTATTATAATTACTAGTCCGTACCCACTGAGTGTGTTTGGGATACAGGTCATAGGAAATTGCAGATTAAATAGTCAACTGAACCCTTTAAGAAGAGCAATGTATTCAGACAGAGTTTTTGTGAATTTGATAGTATGATTGCTTTATTGAAAGTACAGTAGATTGACCACGTCAGTGAGTAGAAAAACGTGGGACAGACAGAATGACTGACTGACAGAATGACACATTGACAGTTTCTGTGATTATGTACAGCATAGCATACCATGACTTAGTCATACCAAACATTAGAAACAACCCCAACATTGGTCCACAGGGGGAGCCACAGCGATCGGTCGCATTTTAGCCATTTTGAAGCATTTTTCTGTTGTTATAGCGCCACCCAGTTGCCAATTAGAGTTAAATTTCTCCAGTCACCTTGAGGCGTCCTGTTCTACATATCTACCAAGTTTAGTAAAAATCCATATGGCGGTTAGGCCTAGATAAGAAATGAGCTCTCTAGCGCCCCCATTTTGTTTGATGGGGTCAATAATGGAGGGGTCCCCTCAGATTATGTGTGGTCATATGCCTACAAAGTTGCGTGGTGATGGGTGAAACCCTTGAGATGTTATACACCTTTATGTGATGAGCCACGCCCTCCGCAATATTCATTGCCTTATAGAAGCTCAGTTTTAGTAAGTTTTCCAACTTTTGCCAAGAGGGAACTTTAGATATTGGTCCCTAGATTATGTTCACCCAGTTTCATGCAGATCGCTCAAACTTCCTAGGAAGAGATCCATTTGAAGTGTTTTTCAAAAAATTCAAAATGGCGGAAAATCTATATAAGCGGAAGTTATGGGTTCTTGAGGCAAATGTGTTCCTCATGAGGAGAGGCATCTCTGTGCAAAGTTTCATGTCTCTACGACATACGGGGCATGAGATATGCCCATTCAAAGTTTGACATTTCAATGGGTTGCTATAGCGCCCCCCTTTGGCCAATTGATGTAATATTGCTTCATTGGCATCCTCCCATGACCCTCTACCACTGTGCCAAATTTCACAGGGATTGACCAAGTCAGTGAGGAGAAAAACGTGGAACACACACACACACACACACACACACACAGGGTTTTCGTCATTATATAGTGAGATAACCTAAATTGCTCCAAAAAGAAACAAGAATCCCTGAAAAGTACATAACATTCAAACATTAATGTAATGATTAAAATGATTTAAAACAGCTTATTTTGTATCACCAACAGTCATACAGCCTACAGGTTAATTTATTATGATATATGTTGGAGAAAGTAGATCCTCACCTCTTGAGAGGCAGTACTAGACTTGAGCGGTATCACAGTATTAAGTATACTGAGGTATTTAGAAATCCCAAAGGTATGATTTTAAATACGAGTAAAACTTACAGAGCTCCTCTCTTTGTTGAACTGATATGGAGACACTGTTGTTAAGGTGATGCAGTGCACAGCACGAGCCACCAGAGGTCAGTCTCTACTGGTGTAACAGGTAGCTGAGCTGAGAAAGGTGGCGAGTGGTGGGGAGAACGTTACAGGCCTTGTAAAAAGCTGGTCAGCAAAGGCAGAGAGAAACAGCGAGCATGTGTTCACGTCTGACTCTGTGAAGTACGGGTTTATTATGAACAAACCAGAGCTGGTGATTGTTGGAGCAAAGGGACAACGAACCAAGTTGTTTTTTCTGAGTTTTACTTTTTTTTTCTTGCGGGTTTGAAAGTGTGTTCTATGATGAGGTAACAAGGAAATTATCGTAGTCTTAGTTTGGTGAAAGAGAGAAACAAGAAGTCAGAAGGTGTCTGTTGTTTTTTCTGTTTAATGAGGAAAATTGATGTAACGATGTTCCTCTTCTTCACATATGAGCTTGTTTGGGGGGGGGGGGCGTCTATCACCAGCAGCTCAGCTTTTACGTTTTGGTTTTTTTGTCTGTTTACACAAATACGGTCATGTACTGTATACCGTGCAGAAATGTCAGAACGGTATGAAAAAATACATACTACCCAAGCCTACCTAGCAACTGAATGAAAAATGTAATTAATAATCAAAAAAGCTTGTTAACTCTCGGTTGGTTTGTCAGTTTATTAAAGGGAAATTTCGGTTTATTTCAACCTGTCTCCTATCGTCCTAAATTTGTTTCAAGTGACTAGTGACATAAAAATAATAGTTAGCATGTAAGCCGTTAGCCTAGATACAGCCGGGGCGCATAGTTGCATCAGACCTGTTAAAACGTAAGTGAACGGGCAACCTTCAAGTGCAAAGTTAGTCCACTAAACAAGCTTTTTTTCCACAAAGACCGCCTCATATCTTTAGGATAAATGTCAGAGAACATACAGAAAATGACATGTAAATGTGCTGTCTTACCTTACCGGTGTGGTGCCATGTTTGTTGTTTACCATTTAATGTTAGCTAAGGCTGCAACCGGTCCCATTCCTTGCAACAGAGGCATTCCTCTTCTGTGGGCACTGGGGCACAGCATTCACAGGTACATCACCAATCTCCAGAGCTACGCAGCCTTGCAGCAGCCATTCCTCCTCTCTCGTCCTCTACCTGTTGCGCCTCTCTCTCTCTCCTCCTCCGTTCTTCAATTTCACGAAGCTCTTCGTCAGTGTATTCTGGCTCAAATAAATAAGGGCGGCCATCAAACTCTGCAAAATCAAATTCCTCCTCCACAAAGTCGAAGTCTGGCAAAAAGTCAGCCATTATTCTATAAATCTTTCATAAAATAAATGAATGAACTTTTCAGGCTACTGTCCGGTTCTGCCTTCCAGCTGTTGCTGCTTGTTCTCGCGAGATTTCAGGCACGGTATGAGATCGCTGCTTGTTCTCGCGATATTTCGGCCACGCTTTGGGAAGCAGAGGTAAACGGTAAACACACCATAAGGTAAGACAACAACTCTGAAGACCACCTAAATGTGGAATGTTATTATATAGGCTTTCCACATCGAGAGTCGATGGCCGCCCTTATTTATTTGAGCCAGAATACACTGACGAAGAGCTTCGTGAAATTGAAGAATGGAGGAGGAGAGAGAGAGAGAGAGGCACAACAGGTAACGTTAGAGGACGAGAGAGGAGGAATGGCTGCTGCAAGGCTGCATAGCTCTGGAGATTGGTGATGTACCTGTGAATGCTGCGCCCCAGTGCCCACAGAAGAGGAATGCCTCTGTTGCAAGGAATGGGACCGGTTGCAGCCTTATTTTCAAGGTCTGGATGTGACCGAGCACGAGACACCTCCACCTGGAGTAGTATCCAGCTGGGCTTTATCTAGAGCTCGCCAGATATATTTCAGCCGCGCTTTGGAAAGCAGAGCTAAATGGTAAACAAACATGGCAGCACACCGGTAAGGTAAGACAACACGTTTACATGTCATTTTCTATATGTTCTCTGACATTTATCCTAACGATATGAGGCGGTCTTTGTGGAGAAAAAGCTTGTTAAGTGGACTAACTTTGCACTTGAAAGGACGCCTGTTTAATTAAGTTTTAACAGGTCTGACGCTACGGCTGTATCTAGGCTAACGGCTAACATGCTAACTATTATTTCTATGTCACTAGTCACTTGAAACAAAATTAGGACGATAGGAGACGGGTTGAAATAAACCGAAATTTCCCTTTAACTTAACCCGTCAGCTCTAATGTTCTGTATAAACTGCATAAGTCACCAGTCTAACATTCAGTCAGCATCTCAGCTAAAGTCAACATTACCATTTCAAAGGAGTCACTCCAACCTGGAGTATCCCATCACTGAGGCGTTTTATTCTCCCTGATCTGTTTGACCGCTGTGCAGAGAATCCCAGTGCTGCACAGCTGCCTGAACAGGCAGAGGGTTGGCAGGATGAGTCCTCTGTAACAGGCTTGACATTGAGTAAAAATTGAGCATGAATTTTCATAAAGAGGAGGTGACGGTTATGAAAGTGTGTTAAAACCATTTGAGCTTTCTGAGCAGCAGAGTGTTGCAGCAGACCCGGTCGATAAGTTGAAGTGAATGTACGTGTTAGTTAATTCTGCTTTTTCTTCAGCTGAAAAAAGCCCTGGAGGAACTCTCTGAACTTGTGGCAGAGAAGGAAGCGTTAGCCCAGCGCTGTCAAGAGCTCGACGTACAGGTGAATTCAAACTTACGCACACACTACATTAATATACATTATATACATTGATGTGATTCATTTACAGCCGTCTAGCCTCAGTGCTTTCTGTAGGTTTGCCGATATTCAGCTTTTTATGTCCACACACACACACACACACACACACACACGTGCATGCCTGTGGTACAGTATAAACAGGAGTTGTGTAATTCGCTGTGATGCTCAAGTCCATTGTCTGGAGCTGCTGTGGCAGAAGGACTGTGGGCTTAGAGTCTGGGATCTGCTGGTCCCACTGTGGCACCCAGCCCATGCTGTGCTGCTGCTAGAAGGCCTCACTCTTTACTGTACAGGCAGGCTACACGTAGCACAGCCACTGATCAACTGTTCAACTGGACTCTCGACAGATTGATTTGTTCTTTCACCAGTCTTGCTCATCTCTTGCCACAGCCAGGTAAGTCCAACACGGCTGACCATCCGACCAAACTAAACCCTTCTAAACCGGCTGCTCGAATATTAACTCTAACTCAGCTAACAGATGGCTCAGTCAGGATTCTGTTCGAGACGAGTCACGCAATGTGTTTCTGTTTGTAATATTTTGTGGTGATCCTCCAGTAATTCACCCGGGAACATCTGTCTGTCATAATAACCATTTTGTCATCTTCTTCTGGTAAAAGCAATGTTGCATTATTTTGTAATGCATATTGTTCTGTGTGAGACTGTAAGTATAGTTCATAGAATAAGAGATAAATAATAGAATAATAGAAAGATAAAAGATTTAATTCCTGTGATAATGATGATCACATCTTGTTATCATTTACAGAAATGATTCCAAGCAAACTAAACACGAAGGCAACAATATGAATGATTGAAGTTTATTTTACCTGTGTGGGAAGTTATGTCCATTGTAACGCTTTATATAATATTATCATATTTTACTGCATAGAACATACACCAATCAGACATAACATCATGACCACTGACAGGTGAAGTGAATAACACTGATTATCTCCTCATCATGGCACCTGTTGGTGGGTGGGATATATCAGGCAGCAAGTAAACATTTTGTCCTCAAAGTTGATGTGTTAGAAGCAGGAGAAATGGGCAAGCATGAGGATTTGAGCGAGTTTGACAAGGACCAAATTGTGATGGTTTGACGACTGAGTCAGAGCATCGCCAGAACTGCAGTTCTTGTGGGATGCTCCCAGTCTGCAGTGGTCAGTATCTATCAAAAGTGGTCCAGGGAAGGAACAGTGGTGAACCGGACACAGGGTCATGGATGGCCAAGGCTTATTGCTGCACGTGGGGAGTGAAGGCTGGCCCGTGTGGTCCGATCCAACAGACGAGCTACTGTGGCTCAAATTGCTGAAAAAGTTAATGCTGGTTCCACCGCTGAAAACGGCAACAATGGGCAAGTGAGCATCAGAACTGGACCACAGAGAAATGGAAGAAGGCGTCCTGGTGTAATGAATAGCATTTTCTTCAACATCACGTGCATGGCCGGGTGTGTGTGTGCGTCGCTTACCTGGGGAACACATGACACCAGGATGCACTATGGGAAGAAGGTAAGCCGACGGAGGCAGTGTGATGTTTTGGGCAATGGTCTGCTGGGAAACCTTGGGTCCTGCCATCCATGTGGATGATACTTTGATACGTAGCACCTACCTAAGCATTGTTACAGACCTTGTTCACCCTTTCATGGAAACGGTATTCCCTGATTGCAGTGTCATGGTTCAGGAATGGTTTGAGGAACACAACAACCAGTTTGAGGTGTTGCCTTGGCTTCCAAAATCCCCAGATCTCAATCCAATCTAGCATCTGTGGGATGTGCTGGACAAACAAGTCTGATCCATGGAGGCCCCACCTCGCAACTAACAGGACGTTAAGGATCTACTGCTAACGTCTTGGTGCCAGATACCACAGCACACCTTCAGAGGTCTAGTGGAGTCCATGCCTCGATGGGTCAGGACTGTTTTGGCAGCAAAAGGGGGGCCTACACAGTATAAGGCAGGTGGTCATAATGTTATGCCTGATCGATGTCAGAAAAATATTGTAACTTTAGTCATGATATTGGTTTGAACCATGTAGCTCTGCCGTAGTTAAAGGTTCTTTGTAGATATTTTGTATGCAGGATTTTTAAACAACGACGAGTTAATGTCCGACATCAGGGAAATGATGGGTGAGAAGTCAAACTAACTAACTGTATATTAACATGTTTGCTTAAAGTGCACTTTGTCTGTGCTCTGCTGCCAGCATGGATTAACTGCACTGTTTGCTTTAACAGCTGGGAGAGGAAGAGAGTTGTCTGTCGGTGTGTCTTTTGATGCTCAGATGTGACTTTGTTGCTTTGCACGAAATAATTGACCAAAGAGAGATTTAACATCACAGTTTCTTTCTGCTGACTCGACACAAATATTGTGTTTGTATATTTAATTCACCTTAACTTTGTTAAAATTGTGTCACTTGTAAGAGTCGGTCCAAACCTTATTGTACCTGGACAGGTGGCGGTTCTTCAGGAGGAACGGAACAGCTTATTGGCTGAGAATGATGTCCTAACAGACCGAGCCAATCAGCTGGACACATTTGACGACCCAAGCACCCCCTCAGGAAGAAAACACAGCCAGCTGCAGCAACAGTTAGAGGCGCTGCAGGAAGAGAACTTCAGGTGGGTCTCGATCTGCTTAGCAACAACCTTGTTATGGGTGTAGAAGTCTTAACAGTTATGTGTATGTGCACGATTCAGGCTGGAGGCTGCCAAGGATGACTACCGGATCCACTGTGAAGAGTTGGAGAAGCAGCTGATCGAGGTTCAGCACCGTAATGACGAGCTCACCAGCCTGGCAGAAGAATCTCGAGCCCTCAAAGATGAACTGGACGTTCTGAGGTTTGTGTGGAATAAACAACCACTTTCTTTCTTCAAGGAGCAGCATACAAACATCTTTTGTTGCCTCTAAATGAGGAACTAGCTCTTCAGTTAGGTGGAGGAGGAAGGTCAGCTCATGATTTCACTGATTAGCCCCTCTCGTCTGGTTGAGGGTTTGTTAATCAGTGAAATTAGCTGATGTTTTGTTTGGCTGGAACAAAAATCAGCATTCAGATTTCTCTGCACTGACCTTGAGAGAGTAAGTAAAAAAGTAAAGTACTCTTCAGATTGTAACAGTTCTTCGTCTGTGCCAGTGGAGACCAGGGATCAGACCCTAAAGATAGAAAATTCCTTTTCTGAAAGCAGTTGGAGTCATAGTTCTTAGAAGAGAAGAGAGAGAGAAGTCCTGCACACTGTTCTTAAACTTGCAATAAACTTTATTGGAGATGCAGTATGACATGAGCTGTCAGACAGTTCCACAGGCTGTGTGCATTCAGCCAATTAGAGGGCACATCACACATTAAAAAATAGACCTTCCACTATCTACAGTGAACAGCAACTACATCAATTTACACACAAACATGAATTACTGTAAATAAAACTCAAATCAGTGTATCTAAAATCATCTCTTCCATAATGACACTAATAATAAGAGACTAATGGTAGATCTCAGTATCATGATTTCACTGTTTAGGCGACACCATGAATATACCTCTCAATAGGCAGTAAGTTACTATGATATAAAATAGCCCATCTAATCACTAGATGGGAAAGAAAATAGAAAATATGTGTTATGGAAAATTTCATAGAATCTCCCAGTTACATAGGATCAGCCTCACCTGAAGCCAGGCTCAGACGACACGAATTATAAAATCCCAACCAATTTTGACATCTGGTTGCAACACACAAACTTCACAGATGTTCCTCTTTTTAATCTCAAACATGCTCGCACTACAAGATTTGAAAATAATGTTGTATCACACACTGCAACATATTATTAAGATTGCAGTGGCAAAGGGAGCCTGAATGCACCACCTCACATGATCTCATGGGGGAAACAGGTGTAAACAAAACAGAGACTGAGGTGGTGCGGCAACGTGCTGTAATGGTAACAATGTTTTGCATTTAAAACAATAAAAGCAGAAGGCGAAAGAGTGTGGATGAGAAAATGGTTGGGTGGATGCAGTTAACACGGGTCTACTCTATTCATCGGTGAGAACTGTCAGTTTTAATACCTGATAACAGTAGTATGCTTGCTAACGCTAGCTTCAAGGGCTCGAATGTTTGCCATTGCATGGCAGCACCATCAGCTTCTTAGTACTGATGCAATCATAACTCTAATCATCCAGATTTCATATCTTAAATATCAGACATGTTTTTAATTATTGGGACGGCCCCAACAAGTCTGGGAGCAGTTCTGGAGGTTTAGGACTGTATCTGTAAACCTCACATCACCAGATAATCTGGGCTGAACATCAGTAACGACCAAGGGTCCAGACCGGATTTCTGCTCTGATATCAGGAGGTGTGATTTAGGGATGAATAGATGCAGAACTCCTGTAGTCTGAGCCTGGCTTGAGGAAGTGTCAGCTGTATCTGTCTGCTGAATGTTCTTTGTCCGCCAGTTTAACCTGATGAAGGTTTGACGATTGAAACGCTGTACGTCCAGTAAAGATTATTGTAAGTAAAAAAGACAGCGTACACGTCTTCTCATAGGCCTTTACAATCACAATCCAGTTATTAAGTGACAGCTTTGTAAATTTACATAATTCGTGTATTTATTTTGTATTCATATACTGTAGGAACTGCTCAGACCGTGTGGTGATGTTGGAGGCCTCAGTGGATACATACAAACGTAAACTAGAGAATTTAGGCGATCTGAAGAGGCAGATGAAGCTGCTGGAGGAGAATAACATGACCTACATGCACAACACTGTCAGCTTGGAGGAAGAACTGCGCAAGGCCAACGCTGCGCGTGCACAGCTCGAGACCTACAAGAGACAGGTAAATTATATGCAAAGCACGGTTGGGTTTTAAATGGAAACTCCACTTTGAAATACAATTCCTATGTTACAACTCTCACAAGGTACACATTTTATTTAATAGTATTTTCACATGCTGTCTCACAGGTCCAGGAGCTACACAGGAAGCTGTCGGAGGAGTCGAGACGAGCAGATAACCTGGCCTTTGAGATGAAGAAGTTAGAGGAAAAGCATGAAACTGTAATGAAGGAGAAAGAGGTGAGGCAGTGTTTGAAATGTGTCAGGAGGACTCTGCAGAAGGATTTAGTTTACTCTAGCTGTAACATTTTTTACTAACATTTGAGCTGTTGCTTTAACACGTCTTCCCCTCCATTAGAGGATCATCATCGAGAGAGATTCTCTGAAGGAGATCAACGAGGAGCTGCGATGCACTCAGGCTCAACAGCACCAGCTCTCCCAAGCAGGTGTGTGACTGGGTAGTCATGTCTGACAGTGATAACGCTGCTTTGCCACTCTGACATTAACACGCACATGTTTATTTCATGTAGGGATGATTCCTTCTGGCAGCCCCAGCCACGATAATCTGGCGGCTGAATTAATCCCCATTGAGTACAGGTAATGCTTCTGACAGTAAAGAGCTTGTTTACTTCCTGCTTGAGTGTAACGTGGGAACACTGACCTTGTATGTGATGTTGTTCAGAGAAAAGTTCATCAGGCTGCAGCATGAGAACAAGATGCTGAGAGTGCAGCAGGAGGAGTATGAGAGGGAGAAGATCGCTGCACTGCAGACCCAGCTGGAGGAGGCACATAAGACACGTAGTGAACTGGACACTGAGAACAGGTTAGCAAAGTTGATCTCTCTTCGTAAGTCAGCAACAAGTCGATGTGATAGATGTTCATTTTCTCCCTAGTTATTGACTGTTTGTTCTGTTTTTGCTCGTATTCTGAAAGACAGTATCCCTACTAAGCTGTTTAGAAAATATTCACCAATATTCCTGTTTACATGCAGATATGCATACTCCCATTAACATGCTGTAGCATGTCGTTTATTGTGTCAAAATATTGAAAAGAGGTGCTTCAAGAGACGCTTCTTTGCGTCAATAATTGATTTTTTTATTTTTTATTTTCCATCATTCGCGAACTTGCTCAACAGTGTCAACACAGACTCTCTTTTATTTCTTCAGCCACCTTCTTGAAGAGGACGGCGTGGTGATATTTGCATATATCTTAAAACACGTTAATATCCAAGTCTTTCATTATGTTAAAAAGTATGTTTGTCTTTCTCTTGTGTGCCATCTCTACCCCATCCTTCAAAGTGTCAGTGAGTTGCTTTGTGTACAGTGTAGCCTCTGATGATGCACAAAGCCGACTGTAAACAGGCCATGTGTCACAAGCTGCGGTAAAAACCCTAACGGAGATGCACATTCTGAATCCACTGTATACACGTTCAAAGAAAAATCTTAACGCTTCATTCGGAAATCATTCAGAATATGCTGTTTACAGTACCAAACACTTCAAAGCTTAGAAGCATCATTCATAACACGGACATTCAAATTCTAAATCAACATACGAATGCTGTGTAGCTTTTTTTCATGTCTGTTCATTCTGTTTAAACGAGGTATTTTTACACAGCTGCAGATAAAGATTAGGCTGCACTAATTATTAGTATTACGTTATTTATAGAATTAGATTCCAGCTCTGGCTGCGTAGGATTGTTTCTGACTCGTGTGATCCAAACATTTCCAATACCTCCAGTGTGTTGCGGTCCTAAAGTGAGAATATATCAAGGAAAATAGATGCAATCATTTCCAAAATTCACAATATATTTTTATCTAATGAAATATTCTTCTTCAGTCCATATGTGTTTAAATTTAGCCTTTCAAAAACAACATTTTCACTGCAGTCAACGCACAGGAGACACACACCTGTATTAATGGGGCGGTCTAGCAGCATCTAATATGAAGAATTACTTAAATCAAATTGAGTAATTTTTTCAGGGTGATAATGTCATAAAATATAAATGCAGACATTTTAAAATCTCAATAGAAGCTTTAAATGAAAAGGTACAGCCATAGTTCCTTCATGAATTTAATCCGTTAATGTTTCCTCGTCTTCACGGTGATCAATCTGCAGGTTGAGTCGAGAGCGGGTCAGTGAGCTGCAGCAGCAGGTGGAGGACCTCCAGAGGGCTCTGCAGAGTCAGGCGGCCAAACCTGATGATGTGAGTGTGCCAGGAGTGCTGGCATCCCGACAGAAAACATCCCACAGAGTTAATCTTATTAAGCTGCTCAGACTTGTGCTGGCACGGCATGACGGAAAGAAATCACATTTGTTTCTGTTTTCAGAATGTTAAACTGATTTAGAGGTACTTTTTAAAAAAGATGTTTATTTTTTGTTCTGCAATTAATGACTTTACCAAATGTAACCTTTGCACTGTGTCTGTAGAAGCTTTAAAATCTTTCTTTTCTGTTTTTCAGTCAAACCTGAAGCGGAAACTTGATGCGCATATGTAAGTGTGACTTATGTGTCAGTTCTTGTGTGAATGTAGAGAGATGTAAAACTAGTCTGTGTGTTCTCCAGTAGAGGGAGGTAAAGAAGCAGCATTGTCTCCTCAGGGTTCAGCTGAACGAGGCTCAGGACGAAATCATGAAGAAGAAAGAGCTGCTGGAGGACCTTCAGCCTGACAACACGCAAACCTGTAAGTTTCCAATCACATGACTAATGTTGGCAATATGACACCACTGATGTAGCCTCGTCTGCAGCGCTGCATCAATACACAACATCACAATATAACTGAAGTGAGACCTCATAACTTCTGTCTTGCATCTAAGCCTTGAAGCTGGATGAGCTGATGGCTGCTCTGAAGAAGAAGGATGATGACATGAGGGCCATGGAGGAGAGGTACAAAATGTACCTGGAGAAAGCTCGAAATGTGAGTGCTAAGAGATCCATTTTGCTTTCGTCCTTCATCCGGCTCTCTCACTCTTACAGACACAAAAAGCGATATAAGACTCAAACAGATATGACCACTCTTTCTCAGCTGTTTGGGCTGAGAAAGCCATGTGTAAGTAAGGTAAAGGAGGTTGTTGGGTTGGTGCGGGGAGCAGTGAGAGCTGGCATTAGGGGAGTGTCTCTGGGCCGCTAGAGATCACTGTGAAAGGAGGTTCCCACCTGATGACCCCAAAGACATGTTAGTTATCACTGCTCACTGGTCTGTATAGTTAAGCCTTGCCATATTAGCTTATCATAGGGCTTAGGAGGTTATTCACTGAGTGCTGATCCTTTCTCTAGAGCACAAATTTCTTGTGTTTATTTGAATCCCCTTCCCATCCAGATCACTCTTTCCTGGGCTGTTTTGGGCGAGCAGGAGAGACGTGCGTTTTTGTATCTGCAGAGCTCCAGGCTGCAACTACTTAGTCTCTTTTTGCGACCGTGGAGCACCAGTGCAGCTTGCAAACGTTATAAATAAATGAATAACCTGGAGTGCTGTTAGTTTGCTTCCCGCTCACAGTGTATGAATCCTTATGTTTAGTGGAGCCACTGTAACGGTTGAATTTTTTGCTAAATGCTGACTATTGACCGCAAGCTTCAAGTTCACTTCCAGCCTGAGACGAGCCGTGGGTTTCAGAATGAAAGTGCCGCTTTTATTGATTTAATTCCAACAGCATTTTATTTAACTTTATTATAACAGTACTCATTTAACTTATTGTAATAGATAGATAGATAGAACTTTATTCATCCCCAAAGGAAATTCAACTTAATTTATACAGTAACAATACTTTATTTGACTGTGTTGTATCAGTGCTTTTATTTGGTAGATTAACTTTTTAGTAGTCTACAGTAGTTTAGAGGAGATTTCAAATATCATTGTATCACAATATAGCCTAAAAATATTGTCATATTATCGATAGACCATATCCCCCAAATGTTACTCAAATGTTATGTTGTTAATGGCATCCATTAAAACATGAGGTTGAGTCCAGTGATTTGATCCTGACTTCAGAACTGTTCTTCCCTCTGTGCTTGTAGGTTATCCGTGCATTGGATCCTAAACTAAATCCAGCCACTGCTGAGATCCAGGCTCTGAGGAACCAGTTAGCGGATCGGGACAAGCAGATTCTCAACTTGGAGGTAAATCTGCTTTTTGACTTCACTGAACATGCAATATTTTTTAAAAAGGGCTGTGTTTCAGACTCAACTCATGTTTGGTTGATTTGCCTCTGCAGCGTCAGTGTGAGCAGGCCAAACTCAGAGAGTATGAGGAGAAGCTGATCGTCACTGCGTGGTATAACAAGGTAAATGAAATCAGATTATCGGATGTATATTCTGCCTTTTAAGACCTTATTGAAACTCTAAATTTGTCCCTCCTCAGAGTCTGAGCTTTCAGAAGCTGGCGATCGAATCACGTCTCGGTGGCTGCACCTCCTCCGTGCTGTCCCCCGGCCAGTCCTTCTTGTCCCAGCAGCGGCAAGTCTCAAACGCCCCACGCCGGGCGCTTTCCATCAGCGTGCCAGCCACTACCTCTAAGTAGACCTCGTCAGAGAGCCAAATGTCTCACCTTTAATCAGTGAAGGGAAGAATACTCTTCCTCCCACCAGTGAGCACTCAAGTGACCTTAAACACATCTGCTCTCAGTGCTTCAGGAGGGTCACGGACGAGCTGATTGGGATCAATGAGCACTTACTTTTCAAACAAAACCTTATAGGTCACATACCTGACGTTACAGCAAACTATCCCATAATACACTGGCTACAGGCTGACCTTTCATAGAACAGAAACCCACAACCTGTGTTCACCTCACTAGCTAAAGTAGCGCACACTGTCCCTTATTTCCCTTCTGCTCCGTGTGTTTGCTTTGCCAACTGCAGACTCGGCTGAATACTTGCTGTAATCAATCTAGCCTTCACTCTCTTACATCCTGTCACGCTGTGTACTTGAACAGGAAGAAGAGAAATGTAAATATATGCTTAACTGTTTTATTCAGAATTGGAGCCCATAATATATATGAATGTGATTTTTTTAAAAAGGGTTACTTGAATGCTAAAGCCAACTAACTTCAGATGATTGTTGATGTATAGAAAACAGAACCATCATACTATGCAGTTAAAGGAATACTTCACTCGCAACACGATCAGTTGTGTATCACTTACTGTACTCAACCTGTTACCATGAATTGGTGAAGAACACTGTTTTTCTCACGTGCCTCCACAGGGAACAAAGATTTCTTGATGAGTAAAAGGGGGCCTCATTTAACAACAGCAAAACAATATCAAAACATTAAACTCGTGCAGTATAATCCAGGTCTCATTGATCCAGTTATATACTCAGTGCTTCCCAAACACATGCGTTTTTGCTCAAACTGTTTAATCACTTCTGCATAAACAGTCTCACACAGCTCTGCTCTTGCACTCCATTAGGCAGAGTTCAAGCGCACATGCCTGCCCAGGCGCACTACTCATCCATCCGTGTGTGAGACTGTTCTCTGATATAACAGTGAATACTTACTGTGACCGTGTTTAAAGATAGTGAACATTGTGCAAAATATTGTCAAACAGCAGTTTCACTTCAAAAGAATCTGTGTCAGGAAACGTGTGGATGAATACACATGTAATGACCGTGAGAAGTAGACTGACTGAATGTGGAATAACTGAGCCATACTAAGATATCTGAGGCTGTTCATCTGTTTTGTAAAGGGATGAACGTCTACTGAACGTACCTGTAATTCTTAAAAATATTGGAGCTGGTGGTACCTATAGGTTATTGTACGATGGTTTTATTGGTTCGGCGCATCTGAGATTAAATTGGGCTGAATGTGGCCCATGAACTGAAATGAGTTTGACACCCCAGGTTTACGCGTAGATGTTTTAAAAGAAAAAATGCATGTGTTTGGGAAGTATTGATCGTACGACTGGATAAGTTAGACTTGGATTATACTGCCAGGTTGTGTTTAAGTTTGTAAATCGATGTTTTGATAAGTTTTGTTGTTGTTTAATGCAGCACCATCTTTACTCCAATTCATCAAGAATTCTCAGTTTTTAGGCCGAGTCCACACAAAGGTTTTAGGTCACTGAAAAAAAAAAACCTTTTTGCAAAACTCCTTCCAGGGTAAAGACTTTCAGAAACTGAGAACACTGAGTTTTTGTCTTGTAATGGCAGTGTGTGCGGTTAACTCCTTTGTCAGGCCTAACTTACATAAATGAACTGTTACTTTTCAACTTATTTGGGAACAGCGGGACCAGGATGCACCAACAGAGGTCGCTGCTCCAGGTAGCCTTCCTATAACAGCTGTTTTTCAGGCTCCAGATTGGCCAACATCATCCTTAGGGTTATGGTTGTATCCCCACCTGTAGGTTTGGCATCTCCTGACAGCTCTTCAGTTGTGTTTTGCATTTTAATTTGGAGATTGTTTTTTTTTAGTTTTTGAGAGCAAAGAATGGAGAAACCTAATTTTTAAAAACACCCATGCTCATGTGGATTAGGCTTAGATTCCTTGTTTACTGTGAAGCCATGCGAGGCAAAGTGTTCGTCACAAATCCAACTAAACACACAGTGTGTATAGATATACAAATGATCATTTTGTGGGTGAAGTATTCCTTTAAGGGGGAACTAATGTAATCACGCAGCAGACTGACTAAAAGACAGACGTGCTTCAGATTTCTTTGAGAAATGGATTGCTATATTTGGTGCTGGCCACCACCTGCTGTCAAGCATCAGACATCAGTCAGTTTACTAAAATGAAACAAGCACATCATGTAAAGCTGTGAAAATCCTATAAATCATATAAAGTGATCAACGTCTGAGGTGCTGCAACAACAAATCCTACACAAGAAATCCAGGACGAGTGTATCTCATGTATTTTCTATACTCCTAAAGTGTGATTTGACTTCCTTACTGGCAGCATGCTCTAAATGAAAACTGGCAGGCCTTTCTATTCACTAAAGCTCTTGAGTAATCAAGTCTGTGAAGTTGTACAGCTGTAATGTAAACATGATTTAACACCAGCTTCTGATCCGAATATCAGATCCAGGTTAAGCTTTCATCGGTACCTGCAAATTGTAACTTGAGAATTTTAATTGTAGTCGATATTGTATTTAATCATCGACGTTTTCAGGCTGTTTTAGTGTCAGTGGGAGTTCAGGGTGAAGAGCGCTGTTAGAAGCTGCTGTTCTCTTTGATATTGTGGGTTATTGGCTGTCCAACCCTCTTCAAGTTAAACTGCACTACTTTCACACCATGAAATGGCTGTTGATTGTCACTCTGTATGTTTGCATTAACACTAAAGAGGCATTCTGTTATGATGGTTTGCCATTTGTGATCTATATGTCGAGGCGCTTTTATTTTCCTTTGCAGTGGATGATTCTCGTAGATTGCTGATTTAAAAGCAGTGTCATTTATATGATGATAAGAAGTACAATCAGACGTAGCACAGCACAAGGTGTTGTATGTTTGTGTGTAAATGAAGAAAAGTTGAGGAAGGAAGTATGAATTTTCAGGAATTTAAGGAAAAATTAAAGCCTTTGGTTTTGTTGTGAATAAATGAATAAATAAATAAATCCTTTTTCTAAAAATGTGTTTTACGTCCAGTAGCATCAATCTCAGTTTGGGTCCAGAGATGAAAGAATGAAGGTGTATTCTGTCGAAAATCATGATGTGTGCCGGGCCAACTCTGTTCTTAACACCGTGCCCATGAGTCAGCCAGAATTATTATAAATCACTATACTTCCACGCCCACAGTTCTCTACATAACCTCCTCAGACTCTGCGTCCTCATATGAGGACGTCACGTTTTGGGTTTCCTGCACATTGTACTTAAATCTGTTTAACTTAGTTGTCCTGGTTTGTGGACACTCTTCTGCTCAGTCTGCAGCAGATCTTGACACAAAAGTGGACAAGGTACAAAACCTGATCAAATTTAATGGTCAATACTTGTTTATTTGTGCTAAATAATGTCTGAAGTTTGATATGGCAAATAAATTTGACCAGTTTTACCAACAGTAACAGGCTATGCAATGCTGATAATTAGGAAGTACTCATTTGAGCACACTGGGACTAAATAACTATTATCCCAGCATTTCACACAGGCTGATCAGGTGTGACAAACTGTTCCTACAGACAATACTTTAAACAGTTGTTGCATCGTTTGTAATTTTGTTTTTCGCACAACAATGTTCAGACATTGAAAAAAACGTTTTCTAATTTATTACACTCTTGTAACTATTAAAAAAAACCCTATTGTCCCCATATCAGGGCATGATTTTTTCCAAGAACTACTTCCTGTTCAACAACATTGCTCAACTTTTTTTTATACTTATCAGGTCCTAGTTTCCCATATAGCTTGGAGAAATTAAGTGTATACCAAACAAAAGCTGGGGTCTCAGGAGGATTAGGAAATACATTTGCCTACAGATGTATGATGAAGAAAGTGGTGAAGTTGCTTCTCCCGCACACATTAATGAATGTCTTGGCAGTAAGAAACACCTAATAAGCCATTCATTACCCTCTTAATATTTGTGTCTCTGAAGGTGACCTCTCTCCTGAAAGTAATGTCTTCCAGTAATGCTTGATCTGCCATTTTAACACCTGCAAGGAGGTTAATCAGACTTTTTATACCCTGCATACGCTACCAATTAAAACTGGGGACATAGGTGCAATTTCATGGTTTTAGAAATTGGTTGGAGTAGGTGATCATTATAGTGATTCTTCCATCTTCATCTGCTCATCTGGTGCCAGGTGGAGGGGGCAGCAGATGTCTCTCTCCTCTCAATAAAAACAAAGAAACCAGATGTGTTAATTGTAAATATTTTCATATACCCAACTGTAAGCTAGGACTGGGACACTAAATTTTTATAGTTGGGTGTTTTATGATACTTAACCACAATGAGAGGATGTCAGTCTCATATTTAATGTATTTGGCCCATTAATTAGTACATTTTTTTAATGAATGCAGTTTTCACATGCTGTGTAATTAGTTAAAAAGTGTGTGTTTACATTTTGTACGACAACCGGCAGTTCTTTTTTTTTTTTTTTTTTTAATTTAATTTAATTTTATTTTATTTTATTTTAATTTTATTTAATTTTATTTATTTGTTTTTATTTTATTTTATTTTATTTTATGTTGCAGAGTAAAAACAAATTAAGGTAAGAAAATATTGATGAATCCCGATTTTGTACGTAAACCGTGCGTACGCAGCGTTCCCGCCTCATTTCCGCCCCCTGGTGTTCAACGCAGGAAATGCGTCTATTTACGTACGGATAGAAACGCCTCGTCGCCGCCGAAATGGGAGTTGAGTTCATTTATTTCCTGTCCAGGCTTGTGGAAAATAAACGTGGAACAGTTTGGAGAAACAACAGCACCAATAATAATACATGGCGGCAAATAATGAGGAGGATGGCTGTCAGGTGTGTTGCCAGGTTGGTGAAATATTTTGTTAAAAGACTCGTGAACTCTGTTAGCTAACATGCTAGCAGTGTTAGCTAGCTAAACATGCCGTTGAACTTTTCACTTCCAAACAAACGTATAGATAGCAGTGTTGACAGATCTCGTGAGACAAATAAGCAACCAGGCCTGTGAGAACAAGCAACTTTTTCTACGGAGCCCCCCTAGGTTCCGGTGAGAGAAAATTAAATAAACTGTATGCACGGTTTTACAATCCGTGGGGACGGATTTTAAACTGTGGGTACTGATTGTCAATTTACATCCATGTGAACGGATTAGTAAACTGTGCGCAGTTTTGCAAAACTGAACCCACGGTACACAGTTTATTTATTTTTCTCCCCCCTGAGCTTCAGGACAATGACCACAAGAGGGAGTTAAACCACCTTTTAACATTAGAAAACAGATGGGATATCAAATATAGACTGATGTACCAAGTACATTATATACACAATAGACCTCTGATAATTAAAATTTGCACACACACATAAATATCATCCTGAATTCAAATTCTTTATTTATTATTGCTTTTTATGCACTCATCTTTTTTCTTTTAGTTACAGGACTGACGTTTTCCTAACCAGAAAAAAAAAACACATTAATCAGGGTCAGAGCCAATTAGAAGCAGGATGCGGGTGGGAAAAAACTCTGCTGTCTCCTGTGTGTATGGAGAAAGGGGAGGGACAGAGGGAACAGGCAAGACAAACTATCCTACGTTTAAATAACGTATCAAAAATATCTGCTTGACAACTTATTATGGAGCTGGGAACAAGCCCAAATAAGCAACTACGCTTTAGAGACAAGCCCAAAAAACCGCGACCCGCGACTACCAATATTTGTAAGCGACTTTACAGAAAAACAAGCCCAAAGTCGCTTATAATAAGCGGACTTGGCAACACTGATAGATAGAGCCATAGACATATATACGTAGACGCCGCATCGAGTGGGTTTGCCCGCTGCTGCGATACGTCAACGTCGCCGCCATATTGGATGTGGCAAGGCTGCGCTGTAAACTAATACAAGTAAATGGACTTAATTTCATAAAGCGCCTTTCTACAAAGAAATTTACGTTAATGCCTCTCGTTTATTCATTCACACAC